CAAACACATATACAAAAAGTGCAGTCTGTGCTACCTGTCCAATATTTCTCAGGATATGAATACTTTTCTCTCTAGAAATATACCATTTTGATCTTGACTATCCTATCTACGAGAAACGAAACCTAGATCAAATATAGATGCCCACTGTGAAACTCATATGAGCTGTCTAATGTCTTTTGCAGCACTATTTACATTTTTGAACAAAAGAAGAAGACTGAAATTATTTAAGCCAAATATATATAATTACGAAAATTATCATCAATATCAAACGAACGTATCACTGGATGAAACGAATGGATGAGGGGTGAGATTGAGTGTACAATCAGTGTAATGTTCATCCTAACGAACGTCGGAACTACACTCATTTTTGAGTGGTTCAGGACTGACTAGCGGAAATTGGTTGTCTCTGAAAATTCTATGAGATTCTATAGCAATAAAATTTATTACATAGATTGAAAGAGAACAAGTTTTTCTATCAAATACACGTTTTAAAAATGGAAAATCTGTGCTGAACCTCTGAAAAATATTGTGATCTCTAAAAGATCTCTCAGAAAATTCCATAGAAATCTGATGAAAAACATATTTTTTTATGATGTTCGATATGTTTCGGATGTTCTCTGTTAAGCATACAAATAAATAGTTGTATATAGATAACAGATATTAGACATAGTTATAATACGTTAAATATAGAAATAAGGCATTATATGTAACTTTAAACGTTAATTTGTAGATGATAGATGCGTAATTCCCGTCTACTTGTCAAAAATTGAAATTTATTTTATTGTTATAGTTCAGCAATTTTTAGCTTGAAGGTGACTACGACTGACTACTTATCTATAGAAGGATGTCATTGTACTTTTTATGCATAGAAATAGTGAGAATATCTTTTTTAAGTACAAAGACTCAGAATTCGATGATGTCTGCGAATTTGGATCTAGTTCTGATATCATATACACATACTTACATCTCCGAAAGTAGCTGCGATATCTAAAATATTTCTTATCCTGAGAACACGGTCGAAACTTTATAATCTCGTATTTTTGATATCGAAATTTTTTTCATCTCGCCAATATTAAAAAAAATATTTCAATCATATATCCAGCATATGAACCATTCTAGATTCCGAAGCTCTTACACAACTTTAAAAAGGTTTAGCAGTGTACTTACTTCTTTTAGAGTAAACGATTAGAGTCAAAAAATAACGAGTGAATGAAGTAGATGTGAATATAAATAAAAGTCAATAACTAAATAAAAATATGAAAAGCACACGTATATATTCGACTATTACGACAATGCTCGCTGATGCATAGAATGTTCACTTATCATCTTAACGAAAAAATAAGCCAGCAATCAAATCGAAGGATCATTAAAAAACGATCGCTTTTGTCATATACATAAAAGACATCATCTATATTTAACGTATGAACAGAGCAAAGGAAAAACATATTAAGAACCTCACATTTTAGTGAACAATGTGCATATAAACAGATATGAGAGCCTATAGTTGACTGACTTTTTCTTTCGTTCTGCATGCAACAGCCCTTTATCGATACTCAAGTTGAACACGCATGTTCGTATGCGGCCATCATCAATATACTTTCAAAATTTGCTGCAGAAATGGATATGATCATAGGAGTAGTCAAATTAACAGTAAGTATTTTATTTGTTTCATGTCATCTAATGATCAAAATCCAATCAACGGTAACATATTTTGCTGTCTTATTTTATTTTACTTAGATCACAGGATGGTCCAAATCACAAAAAGTATTTTTATCTACTTTATTTGACTTTTTATTATTTTAGATTGTTATGAACGATTGTTCCAATAGAATAACAAGATCTTTTAATCATTTCAGTTCTGGCGTCTCCTGAAGAAGCTACCTATATTTTTCTATTTAATATTAAAAAAACGATCTTTCAATTTTTTCGAGAAAGAAGTCGGGACTGAAAGAATTCGTTATTTGTTTGTCTTATTTTGCTTTTTTAGCTCATTCACTTGAATATCTAAGTTTCATTGGAAATATATCTGGATAAATGCACCAAAAAGGAGAGTGTTTCTATTGTATTTTAGTGAAACACGATACTATATAGAAAAAATATACTCAGTGACGACTGTAAGCATTAGTATATGATCTTCGTATTTCTCGGTATAAGACTTTCGTAAGCGTCGATCTGAATATTTTCCAGTGTGTTAGAAGAGGGTAACGAAGTATGAGGTCAGACTGCCATAATCTAGATTTTAATCTTGCTGAAACGCGTATCAGACGGATTAATCATGGACGTGAGTAGGTATCATAAGTATAATACTCTCACACCCACACGCTCAATGATGCATCACTTCGATGTATCAAGTAGAACATAAAGAATTCGATTAGATGGTGATAACGTTGACCAACATTTTGATCACTAATTGAGAAAAGTATAAAATTCATGTTTTGTTTCAACTATATAATAAACTGAAACTTACAATAATGTCTGAATAAATCCATCCAGAAACATGTTTCCATACAAGTGCCGATATTTCATGTACAGCTTGACGAGCTCTTGAGGATAGGTGTGTGAAATGAATGTCGTACTCACAACTGGAGCTACACATACGTCGTCGATATACTGATTTCAATGGCAACTTCCTTGTACTTCGTATTCTATGTCAATAGTTACCAACATCACAGTATGTTTATTAACGTGATATTATTTAATGTTATTGTTAGACAACGACAAAATAGATTAATCGCGGTAAGGTAAGAAAAAAAAGTAATCAAAGAAAGAAAAATAAGAAGAGTAGAATCAGGATATAGTCACAAGAATACACTGTACCAATTTTTGGAATAAAAGTATTAGGTTTATCGGATATCTTACAAAATATAAGATGTTTTATAGCCATTATCTACGATAATTACATACTTTGTCGATGAAATATGTTCGTAATTCATGATTATACAAGAATAACTCGACAATATCGATAACTAAACCCACGATCGGTAACATTAAAACACCATGATATGCAACATTTGAGATACCCTTTCCATCCCAATAAATAACACGTATAATATAAATTGGGATCCAACCGCAAAAAAATGCTGCAAACATAAAAAGCATATGCTTTAGTAATCGAGCATCTCGATGATTAAGAGTAGTAATCGGTGTCTGATGTTCATTTTTCATTGGCAGAACACGTCGTGTTGAACGCCGAACAAACTTAAAAATAATACTGTTAGTTATAGCTAAGAATATTGCAGGTAATATTCCATTAATAAATAATACATAGATTTGGTAATTCATTTCAAGACCTGATTTAAAACATTGCTAAAAACAAGAAAATATTATATTTATCAATGTATATTATTTACTGTAAGACTTGATGCAAACTGAGGTAAAGGTATCAATATTCCACATATCCATTGTATACTGATACATATAATAGTCCATTTTTTTGTACGAAAAAATGTTTTACTTTGATAAACAATAGCAACTAATCGATTTAATGAAACAATACATAAAGCATAAATAAATTGACAATTGACTGTTGTTTGAAGATAAAATATTAATAAACATGATCTTTCAGTCCATAATATATTTTTATGAAATGTATTCATAGTAAAATATATGATCCAAAATGTAGTACAAATGAATAAAGTTATGCTGACATTAAGACTTAAAAAATGAAGAGAAGTATGAAAACGTCGAATAAAACAAAGTGGTAGAGCATATATTAATGATCCAATGGAAATTAAACTTAATATAATAATTTTCATATAAATTAAAATAATTACAATCTGTTTGTCATTCATTATCACTGTTATTTGTCGACCTAAAAAAAGTAGAGATATTGTAGTAGTTTATTTTTCATCATTGTTCTCGATGAAATTGTTTTTGATGCATTTAAATTTTAACGATAATTAGTATAATTAAAAATTAAAATTAAGTTCTATATGATTTTGTATGGAAGAGAAATAAATACTTTCTTTTTTAAGAAAACTAAACTTTTAAAATATGATATCCAATCATGATCGATCAAGAAGGATGTGAAAAAAGAATGTCAGGAAAAAAAGAGTAAGATATTTGTATACACACAAAATATAAATAAAGAACTTTTCTCCTTAGTTACTATGTTCAAATGATGATATATCGGATCAGTCTAACTTAAAAAAATAACTTTGTTCTAATTCGAATTCAACTAATTAAAACCATTGTACATCTTAATTTAGATCTGATCTTTAATATTTTATCTCAGTAACACGGATAAATTATATCTCTTTCGATATAATACTTATATTAGTTGACTCATATGAAGAAGAAGAAGGTATGTGATTTGAATTTCGTCGAAAGTTGCTTTCTTTTATGTTCTGTTAGTACAGAGTGGGCCATATATAACATCTCGATAAGAAATCCGAATATCTCTATCATGGCTCGTTCAAACGAGCTATTTTTTTTATATCAATAATAGAGACGTGTTCATAGTTTATATTCATAAAGATGTGCCTAAAGAAATCCTTTGTTAAGTATCAATATTAATCTCAACATAAAAAATCTAGTTTTTCACGTGTAAGGAAAAAAGTAATATACAAGTTGGCGCGAAAGTCATACTTTGTCGAAATATTATATATTTCCACTACGGCTTCAGGAAACAAACTGAGTTTTTTTATCAATAACAGAAACATGCTTAGAGAGACTTTCGGTAAATATATTATTTTTTCTCCTATACGTGAAAAAGTAATTTTTTTTTTGTTGAGATCAATGTTGATACTTAACAAAGGATCTCTTTAGGCACGTCTTTTTGGTTATAAACTTTGAACAAGTCTCTATCATTGATAAAAAAATCAGCTCGTTTACACGAGCCGTAATGGAGATACTCGGATTTTTTATCGAGGTGTTAATTATGGTTCACTCTATAATTCATTACACTAAATTGAACTCCTGTGGATTGTGTTCAATTCTATTATCGACATTAGTCATATCATTTCTTTAAAAGATAACTCTGTTTCTCATGGAGTTTAACTTACAAATACATAAATGATAATGTTATACTTTAGCGACATTGCTAAGAATATTCATCTGGAAGGAATTTAGCTCTGCAAGTCTTAACATGAGGATGTTCATGGATGCGGGTGAGGTAGAGTCATGGGTATATGCTTTATTCATCTACATTCAAATCTTCAAACTTATTAAAATGCATATCATTGCATAAAATCCATAGATAAGGTTCATATATTCATTAAACGTTACAATAAATTCTGGGAAGATTCAGCCGTTCATCACCAATACGTCTTCATAAAAAAAGATAGATACGATAAATAATTACTATCGATCTTTTGGAAAGGAACTCTAGGTCTAACATCTCTGCTTCTTGACAAAAGAACGAGAAGTGTCACAATTAGTTAAAATTATTTACGCATTTGATGATTATTGATGAACTAGTACGTCTTTATACGTTTCACCCTGCCAGATAGTTTTGTTTTTTTATGATCTACTTATCCAGAGCACATTCATGTGAGCATTTTACATTCAAATTTCATCAATGAAATCTTTTTAACGTTATTGTTCTAAATATATCGAGTGTTCCAGAGAAAATAGATTACTTTTATTTTTTGTTTTTTTCACATACGGCAAAACCTCTCATGATAGATACTTTTGAAGAGTCCTCAGGGTGTCTCTTATGCAAAGGGTGTGTGTTAGTGAGATAAATAAGATAAAACCACACCCTCAAGCGTTTATCAACGTACGATCAAATGGAGATACTGATCAATCAAAGTTAATTGAAAACAATAGTCAAACACTATCACAGTCACAAAATAATTGATGAGAAAATACAATTTTTTATTTTCCTTGAAAATCTTTTCAAAAAAAATTTTCATAAAAGGTTAAATGATCGTCAAATACGAAACTATTAAATATAATAAGTGAAAGATAGAATAAAGTTTTTAATTTATGTTGGTTAGTGAACATCGGCTAAGACTTCAACATTATCTGGAAAATTTTCATCATCATCAGTTTGTACTCCAACATCAACTGTTTCTCTGATAACTGCAGCTGCTATACCAACTGCTGCAACACCAGCTGCTGCTCCTACACCTAAAGATGTTGATGTAGCTACTGCCCCTACTGCTCCAGCAGATTGACAAAGAGCAAAAAAACTTCCAGAGGCTGTTGTTGCTGTTTGGAAAGCTGCTGCTATACTACCGCCTGCAACACCAGCTGATGTAAAACCTACTGCACTTAAAGCAGGTATTATAAGGAATGGTGCTGTTGCAGCAGCTGCTCCGCCAATAACGCAGACTTTTGTAACTCTAGAAGTTCGGTTCCACGTATTTCTAATCCTTGAAAAAGGCTCCATTTCGCGAATAGAAATATAATAATCTAAACTAAAAATTGGAATCTTCTTTAATCAAATCATCTCCAAATATGACTCTGTGATTAACTGAAAATGTTATCTTAACTCTTATAGAATAAAACTACTAATAAGTAAAAAAAAATATAAAATTCATCCATGTGAATAGTATTTTATCGTATTTATTTTAGAAAAAAACAATGAAAGGACCAATAAAAATACGTGGTTGGATAGACTATAGACATAGAAAACGGAATAATATTCATCGTCTATACTTTCTTTTTTTGCCATTTGAGACTTCAGAAAATACAGAATAAAAAAAGCAGATCTATTCTTCTTCATTCTCATGAAAAATAGAACGATTGGCGTTATCTGTCTAAAGATGTCAGAAGTATAAAATCATAATAAGATTTATTATTTATTATAAGATTGAAAAAAAATTCAGCTATCAATATTTTAACTTAACAATCTTTACAACATTCAAAACAAGCCATTTCTTCAATAGCACAACAACAACATAAACATGCTAAACTAAAAATAAAAGAAAAATATTTGAAGAAATTAAAAAAAGAAATTTTTACCAATCAAAACAAGCACCACCACCTCGTAAACCTCTAGGAAAATTATTTCCTAATGACTTTGTTGATTTTTCAACTATGAAATTAATAAAATATCTTTTATATTTAAAAAAACAATTAAACTTTACTCGATTGACTTTCTTGTTCAATAGAAAATTGGTTTATATTAGATGGTTGTTGATGTATATTGGGATTCATATTTGAATATAAATTAATGTAATTTTATAACAGAAATAATATCTTGGTCGATATGTTCGATTCGTTTCGTGTATTGGAACTATTTTGACTATATGTCTTACGTTATTTATAGAAAAAAGATCGAAGTAAAAAAGGTACATTGATTATATTCTCTTTGAATTTGTTCTTTAATAATTGTTCATTCCAAGGACAAGAATAAAGAAGTTCTTATGAATCGTAACTTATTTTCCGTTTAATTCTAAAAAAGAAATAAGTTTGTCATTTTTTTTCTCTGTAGTAATTATTTTTTATTATATATATTTTATCTAAAGTTATAACTTTAAATGATCATATAATTTGCATAATTATATGGTGTTGCATTAAGACATTATTCATTGAAGTATCTATTTTTTGATCGAATTGAAAAATAAAAGGGATAACCATCATGTGTAAATTCTATGATTTAGCTATGTATTAAATCAATATCATTCTATCACATGGTATATTAATATACAATTTAGAAAGTATTTTGTTTTTCTTTTCCAATGTTTCTGTTAACTCTTTACTATTTTCGTTCGTTTAATGTATTTTTGTTATTTTTTATAATATTTAATTGTGTGGATGTGGGTGGGTGTCGATGTCTCTTCTTTCTATCCCAGAACCAAAGAAAAACTCACACTTACCCTCAATTTTGACAACGACGATTGCTATCAATATTGATAGATTCATCTTCAAGAAATTCGGTGTCAATGTGTAACGTACATCTACCTTCAGCTTTATGCACATCCTCAAGCTGCATGTATTTTGTCTACTTCTTAAATATACTTTTTATTTGCAAGATAAAACTAGTAAATTTATTTGAATAAATAGTAAAAAGATTAAATGAATTATATAAGAAATAAGTTTGACAAAAAAATTAAAAAAAATTGATAGTTTTTGCTATTTGTTAAATTAGATCCATTATACCATGTTGTTTTAACTAAAATAAAGAAAAGTAACATCAATTATCAAATCATCGTCCTACAATTTGATCATTTTAACACTTTTTCTTCGACTATGAAATGAAACTAGTACTATGACCGATGAACTTCTATCTCTACGCTACTCGATTTTGTAGAAACACTTCAAGATAGTATATCAAACTATATTACAAGATCATACCTTATTGTTGTCTATGACTTCTGGCAAAAGCGGTTAGCAGCGGCGTCTTTCAAGGTGATTGCTCCTGTTGCTGGATCGCGAACTTAAAATGAATCAATATTATGCATTACTTATGAACTGACAGAAACTTACTAATAGTATGAGAAAGCATTGTAATAGGAACATATTGAGAACGATCAGAAGAACCAGCATCAGCAGCAGGAAAGTCATAAACAGTAACAACTTCATCAGAATTAATATTATCACCATAACCCGCAAATTCTTGGGTGAGATCACTATAATGAATGACATGGTAACCATCAGGACAAGCGGGTCCGCAACTACCATCAATATCAGTAATTGTATAAAGACCAGCTTTGACAGCCTGATAGTGATCAGTATTAACAAGATATTGAGCATTGTCGAAAGTTTCAACAGCTACACGATAGGCACAAACGCAAGAATCACCTTGGAGGATATAAGGTTTAGGACAACTGGTATCAGCACGTTGAGACAGAAGTAATCTCTTTAATAAATCATAATTCATTTCTCTTCTATGAAAGTAATCTCTAGCTTTCTGGTTTGATATAGCATGTCTTGCCAAACATTGAGTTGTAACAATGGCTAATAATACCAAAATAAAGATTGTCTTTGGTTGATTGAAGACCATAATTGTATGAATTTAAATGTTTGCTTGTAAAAACAGATAAGAAATAAGAAATATTTCTGAATGAATGAATAAATGCTTATTACTTCGTATTTTTATATCCTTCGAGATACGCTGAATAGAAAATATTACAAAACCATTCAGGTATAACCGTAAGCAGAGATACCCCCTGATTAGTTCGACCGAACGCGAAGTGCGATGATCAGTTTGGGTCATGGTAGCAATAATAATCGTTTTTTTATCTTGTTTTTAACATATTTCGAGGAAAGATATGCATTAATAACTTTCAAAATAATACAAAATGCGCACATAGACACGTGAAGAATATAATAATTATTAATTATAGGTACTTACATGAAGAAATTTCGATTTTATGAAAAGATGTAAAATTTTTGAATCATTTTTAACATCTGAAAATCTCTTTTTGTTATTTAATTGTATTGAAACATTTGTATTATTTGCATGTTAATATATCACTATGTTGAATAGTAAACATCAATATAAAGATATAAATAATCTTTTTTCACTTCATAATTAAAAACGATTGATTTAAAGCGTAATATCATTAAAAATATCTCGATTTTAATGAAATTTAAAAGAAACATACAACTTTATTTTTCACCCTTAATAAGTTTTATATAGTTGATTCCACTTAAGTAATACAAAAATGAAATAAATACAGGTACATTTTATTTTTATTCATGAGTGACTCATTGTTTTTCTTCGTTAGTATTTCTTAATCTATTTTCTACATCAATATTATAAAAAGTATTTTATGATTGGTTTGTTTTTTGTCAAAATAGTATAATTTCATTCTTATTCATAATTTAATATGGTCGATCTACTTTTTACACAATAAAATATTAATATGCATTTACTAAATACATAAATATTTGTTTTATGTTATCAAATAGTTTACTTTGTTTTTTAAAACAATCGGTAATCATTTCAATGATCTCATTCATCCGACAGAGAAACTCAACAAGAAAATATCTAAATAATATAAAACTATAAATTGAAAATACTAATATTCATTAATAAATAATAATAGATAATTAAAGTTAGTTAACATATAATATTTCAACAAAATTCAGTTATGTTTATGATAAATTTAATATTTACTAATTTTAATTTAATTCGAACCAGTTGAATATATTATCCATATTTTGACATAATCTGTATAGATGTAGAATTTTTGTTTGTTTCTATTTATCTTCTTCAAATAATGTAAACTAGTAATGTGAGTATATGATCTAAGAAGAATTTATATCTTACGAGGAACACTAGTAATATATCTCACTCCGATTCAGTTCATTCATGCCTCATTTGATGGAGTATAGTGAGGTAATCAAAAGCTAAAAATATTATCGGCCAACAACTCTTTCTCGAGACGGTATATTAATTTTAGTGAAATTTTAGTCTATGACATGGTAGCTCGCAAAAAATGGAATGTCACTCATTCGATCTGAAATCTTGTCGATTAGTAGGCCCTACCTGTAACTAGAATATCCTAAAACTATTCAACTCAAAAGAACAGTTCCTTCATGAGATATTATATTCGCAAAATCACTCGTATGTTACAAAAAGATTGGACGATGTTATGCTTCTTTTAGGAATATAATATCTCATGAAGGGACTGTTCTTCTGAGTTGAATTTTTTAAGACATTCTAGTCACAGATTGGCTTATCAGTCGACAAGATTTCAGATCGAAATATTCACATTCGATTTTTTGTGATCTACCATGTCATAGGCTAAAATTTCACTAAAATTAATATACCGTCTCGAGAAAGAGTTGTTGGCCGATAATATTTTTAGCTTTTGACTACCTCACTATACTTCTATGAAATGAGCCATGAATGGACTGAATTGGAGTGAGACACCCAAATAATATTCCTTGTGAGTTGTTTGTTAGAATAAGTGATACCAGACATTATCATCTGGTATGATGTTTTCGAATTAACTCTTGATACATGGAAGATCGAGAATAGCAATATATATCGTTATAAAGGAAAAATAAAGATGTATTACGTTATGAAAAGTAAGTTATTTTTATTTTATTTTGTACTAGAAAAAAGCTAAAAAGTAATCATTTGTTACAGTAGTTGTTAGAAAACTATCTATAAGGAAGAAAACTCGTGCAGGATTACATAAATACTTTGCGTGATAACGCATTAAAAAAATTACCAACGTCGACTATAGCCTCCACCATATGAAAAGCCATATTCACCACTTATTGGATATCCTGGTCCATAGCCACCAAAACCACCTGGTCGAAGTCCTCCATTATATCCAAATTGACCACCAAAACCGTCACCCGATCCAAATCCTGGTCTGCCATATCCACCAAATCCTGATCCACCATATGCGCCAAACCCTTGTCCACCATATGCACCAAATGCTGGTCCACCATATCCACCAACACTACCACGTCGGCCACGAAAAAGATTACCACTACTTCGACACATTATTTATATTTAAACTAAATAGAACAATGAAATACAAACAAACTATTCATTTATACCATATATAATATTATCATACCCTTCGTTGAATAGAAATATATAGACAACAATTGGATTTATGTATGAAAATATACATGATCAAAACTGTCTTATATAGTGTAAGTTGGTGTCTAGATCCCTTGTGAGTAATAACTAAATGAGTAATAGAAACAATTGAGGCGTAACTAACAATGATATTAGTAATCATATCTCGATTAAATATTATAATATGATTGTTGTTATGGTAAATACATGTAAGGCTTTCTAAGATTTCTCTCTGATTACTCATTTTGAGCAGTATAGACATAAATATATGTTAATAAACAATTTTGATTCATTTATTAATATAAAATACGAGGAGTATTAAAGAACACAAAATTTACTATCACAATAATATCAGTTCATTTTTTGATAGATTCTACTTACTAACAATAAATATTATTATTCATTAATGAAATTTATATTCATAGTTCACTTTTAGATGTCTTGAATATTCGTTTAATATGAGCAACTCCTGCATCAGCTAATACATCTCGATGTAATCGTTCACTATCACCACTAAAAAAACTTGCACTAGCTTTTGCATCTAGAAGCCACACTCCTAAGATCTCTAAGGCTCTTTGTTCATTGTCAATATTTTCTGCATAGATAATATGGTTTCCTTCTTGTCGTTCTCCAAGTAATGCATAAAAATAAGTTTTTTCAATATAGCCATATCGAGCTGTTTTAGGACCCATAATTAATATTTTCAATGTATTTCGTTCTGTATCATTAAAACGTTCTTCATACCATGGTCTGATTTTTGTATCAAGCATATCAAGTTGTGCACGTGCTGCTAAATCAATATTAACTGAAAATAAATGTCGTGCTTGTTGACAAAATTCATTCAGCTGAGTTTGATCAATAAATTTTGTTTTTAAAATTGTTTCTAAATATTCTATTGAGAGATCAATGATATCATATTGAGTCTGTTGAATATCTGTTGGAAATTGAATAGAATTTCGAATAGAACGAATATCCTGTAGATATTGTTTTAGCTCAGTATAGTTATCATCAGATAATATTCCTAAATTAAACATAACTGTTAGATAGATTTTGAATGGCATATGTGATATTGATTTTAAATCATGATATAATTTAGGTATGACTTGTTCTTGATAACGTTTGCCACGATGAATAATTACAACATTATCTCCATTACATATGATTAATGGATTAGTTATTGAAATTAAATAATCACGAGCATGATCGTATGTTGAAATAAACTTTTTGTTTAGATCGAATAATTCATCAGAATAAATACTTATTATGAATGTAAAAATAAATATTAGTAATAAGTGATTGTTCGATATCATATTTTGATTCAAATGTTCTGATATCTAAAAATCTAATAATTGATAACAATCTATGAGAAAACGTCTTTTTTTCTATTGATTGAAGAGGCAACAAATAGTGAGTAGACATTCATAGATGGCCTAGAACACAAAGATCCTCATGAAAACTAATACTGATCAATATAGTTTAAAATCGTTATTGTAGATGTTTTTCACATTGCATATCACAAAAATCATTATAAGTAAACAGCTAGTTAATATCTTATAACACAGTATGAAAGTAATGCCAACAACTCTGTCGGCATCAATATTAAAACTAACAGGATTTTCATTGTTGAAAGTTATTTTCAGAAGCAATTTCATATAATCCTGAGTAGATTTGAAGGGATTGTATACTTACGAGTTTAAATTAGGATGAAGGAATCTGTCAATACAATGGTTTAGGATATGAAGTAAAGAGACCTAAATTACAGCGTGATCTAGATGGGTTTTTAAATTATTTAATTTTATTAGTGATCTTCTTGAAAGCTCTTGCTACTAATGGTGTTGATATATTACATAGTACAGAGAATTCTTTGATACTTCACAACATTAAATAATGCATCATTTATTCATGGAATATTGACTTTTCATCTGATTATAGGGTAAATTTGAATTCAATTTAAAATCATATGATTGCAATGTTTCACCGAAGTCAATTTATTCTATCATCATTAGTAGGATATCTTGTTTACAAATGAGATTATGAAATTTTATTTTAATTTTAATTTTGTGAATCCTTATCAAAATAATTGAATTTTGTCAATCAATAAAGGTAATATATTTCATCGTTTATTTATTAAATAAGTGATTAGTAATCCTTTATAGTCGCCTGACTTATCATTAACATAAAATGTAACATTATTTTCTTTTGAATTATCAGTAGAATATTATCATCATAGAGAATAAAATAATAAATATTAGCTTTCTTTTATCTCAATTTCCAACATGAGGGACATACAATGAATAAAACACCTGACTGCGAAGTGGTACTTGAAACTCTTATCAAAATAAGAGCTATACAACATATATTATCTAGCAGATTACGCTTGTTTTTTATGGTTCTTGGAAGAAACCAACATATACGTAAAGATTTTAATTATTGGAAAAAATACCAGTAAATATCACATTATATTTTTACTCATAATTTGTTGATATCAGCTTCTTCCTAATCACGAGTTATAATACTATGTTAGCCTATATAATTGAATACATCTTTCAAGAATTACTCTAATATTTATATTTTGCTTGAAAAATATATTATAATTGAAAAAAATGGCAGTATATCAACAAAGTAACTATGGTATTCGCGAAACAGGCACAACAACTAGTGTTCCAAACAATGATATAGCAAGATGTATGTATTATTTAAAATGTGTTTGTTCGGTTATTGACTGTAATGATGCAAATATTCTTCGTTATACAAATTATAATAATTATTGGATACTATCAGATAGTGAAGATGAAATTGTTTATAAACTTTGTTTAACATTAAGTCCAGATGAATTTGAAGATAAAGTCTTTTTTGAAAGTGACGCTATGTGTGGTTCATCAGGAAATAACTTTTTTGAGATTAGTCAAGTACAAAATCGTCTTGGTGTTGTTGGATCAATTCTTATTGCTGGTCGAACCCGTCGAGTTACAAGTATAATGACATACAAAATGTCATGGATGCGAACAAACTATTTCGGTCCAATGAGTCGTTTGGCTGATCGATTCAATCCAGAACGACGATTAATACGTGCTTTACAAGAAACTGATTGTACAATTTCATAAATATACAAAACTATATGTTCCGAGTTTTTTTATTACTCCTCTCAATAAAATAAATCTACTCTTGATATCATACATGATTTTAATTATTAATTTTTATCTCTTTCAACGTTCTTAAGCAAAATGTCACATATATCTTATCAAATTATTGATACTTTCAATAACCGAGGGTGTGGGTGTTGCCGTCTGTATCTATTAAAAGAACCTTTACCAATACTCACACCCACACTCTACATAATATAAAGCATATTTCTTAAAAAATCAAATTTAAAGATTGTATATAAACTATCATTCGTTAGTAGATTATTTCATCCAACGAATTCAAAAATATGACTTTTCGTACTATAAGGACATCTATGATGCCAAATAACAAAGAAATTCAAAATTCTATTATTCGTTATGATCCATTCTATAAATCTTCTCTAATATTCAAGTTTAATCTGACTGAAATTTCTTCAGATTGTAATGTTATTTTTTAAAATATTCAACTGATTCATCCTTTCGTCATAAACAAACGAAAGGAGGAAGCGATAGATATTTCATAAAATATGATGATATTATTCGTTAGTTTATGTAAATAATAATATCCTTTTTTTGAATCATTCGTTTACCAGTCGATATGAATTATAAACTTATTTTCGAAAAAAAATTTTTGTTTTATATTTCAGATCTTTTATTAAATAACGAGAATGACAACAACAACAACAACAACAACGCAAAGCAAAGAAAATGATTGTAATTTTCCTTTATTTAAAACACCAAGTAAAAAGAAAACTTAATAATATTATTTAATATACTTAAATCTATTCTATAGTACGTGATAATATATTATCGTCAGCAACTAAAAATGATTTAACATTCTATTCAAATAATCTTAAACATTTAAAATTTACTAAAAGAACAAGTATGAATGATTTAGAAATGTATCATAATACAATAGTAACACCAATACGTTCAAATAAAACTAAATTTTCTACACCTGGATCTATTCAACGTCGCCGTGCTTTAGGTCTTGTTAATTCTAATAGTAAAAAAATAAGTCATATATCATCAAATGATGATCTCTCATCATTAACTACTTTTCAACAAATAAATAATAAATATGAAGAACCTGTTATTCTTCAAGCACCATCTTCTGAAATGACATGTTCTCATCATCCAGATGATGATGATCTTCCATATCAACCAAATTCTATTCATCGTTATGAAGATACATTTGATGATCTTATACCAACTAATGAACGTATTGAACATATGATTACAAATCAAACAAATGGTCTTAATATATTTACGTTTTCTGGTGGAATTGAAAATACAATACGATATCAATCACCTCAATGTTCACGTGTTGATATATCAACTTTACTTGATATTCTTAATTAAATATTTCCATCAATTTTTTTCTTGTTCAATATTAGTCAGATTTTTTTCTTTATTTTTGCATAGTTTCGAATTTCAAAAAATATGTTTTATATGTCTTCTGATATCTATCTGTTCCAATATATGTGTGTATGTCTGTTTCTGCTTCGTAACTTGTAGAAAATTACTTCATATAATAAATTCTTCTTTTTGTAGATTATAGAACAAAAAGGAAAAAGAAAAATTTTCTTCATTTCTTTTAATGGATAATTTACCATCGATTGGTGATCGTAATACACAAACCATTGTGTGTTCATTTTGTGATGATATTATACTTCGTCCACAAACAGCTATTCTAACAAATAAACCAACATTATTACCACAAATGAATGTAGAAAAAAATTCATCAACTGATACAGAAACAAATCGTTTATCAATTAATGGTAGTGATCATGTATGTGATTCAATAGAAACATTTTGGCTTGTATCAGATATGTTTACATTTGAAAATGTTGGATTTTCAAATACAGTCAATAATCAAACAAAATATCTTGTTTGTGCAAATTGTGAACGTGGTCCAATAGGTTTTTCTCCAATAAATCCATTAACTAGACAATTAGAAAAAGAATTTTATGTTGCTTCTGATAGAATTAAATATAAATAATTATTTATAAGATTTATTCTATTGTGCATGCAAAACTTTTTTTTTTTAAAACAAAACGAAAGAAAAAAAAAAGAAAATCTTTTCAGATGGCTGATCATAAATGGGATTTTAAATCCAATTATATGCTTGCTTTTACTGTATGTAAATATGGTTTAGATCCAGAACGATGGGATTTAATAGCTAATGATTTAGCTAATTATATTAATACAACACCACAAGTAAACAATAAGATTATATCGAATTGATTTACTAGATTTGTTTCTTTATGTTTAACAGAATTGTCAAACACAATTTGGTCATTTATGTCAACAATATGGGCAGGATTGGTAAATAATGGAGGAAATAAGCATTGCAATAAAATGTTATAGAGAAGTTATTGCTAGAAAAAGCAAAATAATCTAGTGTGAAATAAGAATATTTTTTAAAGGCAACAAAAAATCTAACGCTAAAAATATCGAAAAACTCTTTCTCAATTTTGCTCATATATTAGAGCTTTTCTATTGTTTATCTTGAATATTTCATATACAATTACTTCTAAAATAATTCGCTTGAATCATAAGCTACTTTGTATAAATGAAATAAAATTCTTCTTTCTTGAAATACAATTTATTTTACTATTTGCTATTAACACCGATTACAAAAATGATGCTCTAATCTTGAATTAGATAAATAAAAAATTCTATGAAATTTTTTTATTAAGGCAAAAACAATCGGTTGAACCTTTACATAATTATATTTTTACTACAATTAAACGTCTGTATTATGGTAATTTATGTGAACAAATGAATGAATCACGAAGTTTACTTAACGTTACGTATGATTTTATACGTTTATTTAAAATTGGTCGAATTACATCAAAAGAGATTGAGGAACTCTTACAAGATATTAAAAATACGTATGAAATAATTTCGATATTCTTTTCTATAATATAAATTCTAATGGTTCTTTTTGAAATAGTCCTTCAACTACAAATAATACACATGATAATGAACGACAACTTAAAATCGAAATGCTTGATCGTCTTAAAGGATATATGACACAACAAAATTGTCAAACATTGAATACACAAGTAATAATAACGAACTACTTAGAGTTTGCTAACGATCCGAGTTGACACATAGCGATATATCTAATGGGGAACTTAATGAACTTCTCGATCGAACTGTAAATTTAGAATATAAAAAATTCCTTTTTCTTCTTCTTCTAGTTTTCTTCATTTCCAGTTCCATTATTACCTCCACCACCGCCACCACCACCATTCTTTCATCATCATCATCATCATCATCAACAACAACCAACAATTCCAAATTATAATCCACAAGATCAAGTCATTTCAAATACAAATGAAAATGATCGACAAGTACCTTCACTCGATAAAAGTCATATAATAAATAATACTGATATATCATCATTTCCAATAATTATACAATCAAATAATTTACTTATTGAAAATGAAACACAATATATAAATAATCATTCATCAAATGATGTTGATATTGATGAAATTGAACTCAGCTCAGATGATGATGATGATGATGATGCTAATGAACGAACAACAACAACAGTACAAATGTCGAATTATGAGGAACCAACAGCTTCGTCAAATCTAATGAATGATCAAGATGAATCTACATTTGTATCTGATGAACAGATGGACACAAATCAATCATCCAATATGCAACCAATGACTACAGAAATATCGGATTCAAATGACAGAGATTTATATGAAAATGCGAATACTGGAAGTATTAATAATCAATCAACATCCAATACTCGATTATCAGGTGAAGAACAAGCAAGATCAAGGTATATTTATCTTTTCCTATTCCGTGTTTTTCATGAAGAAAAAAATACCAAATCTTATATTTAGTAATAGTGATCAGCCAATGTCATCAAGTTTTCAAGTTAATAGAAGTATAAATGGTTCAAATGATTATATTATATCAGATAATGATCAAATACAATCGATACAAAATAATTATCATCATATGCCTAATGAAATTGATTTCATTACAACAACACCAACTCGTATTGCTGTTGACGATGATGAAGTAGCTCGAATGGATGCAGAACAGATTCCTGAACCAGTTCCAGCTGATATTACTGATGTAACAGTACCAAATGATAATGCTATGTTTATTGTTGATGAATCAATTTCGAATACTAATACTCCTGAAATTCCTACACATAATATTGATCAGCAAAGTATTGCATCGAATATAGCTTCATGTTCAGAAACATATGAAAATGATGATTCCATAGCTTGGAAAAATATACGTAGACAATCACGGTATTAAACATAAAATTTGTTTTCTGAAAAGTAAATAAAACTATCTATTTTTAGCTTGACAACAAGTTCTTCATCAAATAATTCTCGTAAATCAATGAATATTATTCTGAACAATTTGAAAACTGCTAAGTAATAAAATTTTTAATTACTATTCATTTCAAAATATAATATCTTCTTTAAAACTATTATACTTATCAAATTGTCAGACATGTAGATTGATAGAAAGTACTCCAGCGCATTGAAGTATCATCATACTTGAGAGATTTCGAGAATCTATCAACTTAAAAATAAGATCTTTCTATATTAATCAATGATATGCATAGTTATATTTTATTATTTAGATATGGTTATGATTTTGCTAAATCACTTAAATCATTTAAACTATCAGATGACTATTATGATCGTATTAAAAAACCATTAGATATACCTGAAATACGTGAACGTATGAATAATGGAGATTATGATGACAGTTTTCTTTTATTTGAACGTGATGTGTTATTAATGTTTACTAATGCATTATCTATGTATCATCGAGATGTTGAAATTCATAAACATACTCAATATATGATAAATTATGCTATGGAATTATTTACAGTAAGAAAATCTAATGAATAGATTTAATTTCTTTTTTTCAAATTTTAGTCTATGAACGATGCATTTATTCCATGGAAAACTAAAGAATTTGATAATTTATCGAATTTATATTGTCATAATAATGATACTAATACAATAAATTCTTCTTCTTCCATCACTCGAACATCTTCAGTATCATCATCTGTTCGTACTGATTCATCATCAACAAAAAATCTTCGACGTCAAGGCCTATCAAAATCTCTAACACCTAAGCGTCAACGTAAAATACCTCAATAATTCTTATTACTGTTTTGTTATTGTTGTTATTAGTATTCTTTTGGTTATTATTTCTATATCTGATTAGTTCTTGACATACATGTAAATAATAATTTCTTGTTATACATGCATTAAAAAAAAATGATTGAAAAAAATAATAGGACAAACAAATTCGTATAGTACGAAAAAAATAAATAAAACTTATTTAGGTATAAGATAATTACAATTTGTATTTTCACCTTTACTGTATTTTAAATGAACAAGTTGTTTATGTTTAGAAGTTTGATCTTGAACTAACTGAAGATGAGATTGAGTAGACGGCTGATGTTCGGAACGAAAAACATGTAATGGTGATATACGTTTTGAAATATATTCGATTCCATGATTTCTATATTGTAATAGATTTGATGAATTTGAAACATTTCCTAGACTGTCTCGTCGAATAGGTAAACGTGGGGAAATATTACGCTGTGTAGAATGAAACAGATCATTAGACTTTCCTGCAGTAATTATGGGTAATGGATCAATAAACTTTGATGTTGTTGAAGTTCGATAATTTTCAATCATTGGAGATAAATATGTTTGCGGTAAAATATCAGAGCCAGATGATTTATGATTTGGTAAACGATGATGAGATAATCTTGCGCTAATAATATTATTCATGCCAGTTGATCGATTGGGTGTAGTATTACCAAGAAGTATTTTCACAGAAACTTTTGAATGATTAAAAGAAGTATTTAATGTTGAATCTGAAATAGACGAGAAAAATAAAAGAAATTTTTATTTCTTGTAGATATGTATATTTACCATTTGGATTATGTACATTATATTTTAAAGGATAATGTGTTTGTTCAAATTGTTGTTTTGTTGGTATTATTTTTCTCTTTGGATATTGTCTTATAGAACTATTATTAGATCCGATGTTTTCTTTTAATTGATGAGGAGAATAAGTTTGGCTTAAATTAGGAAAGAAATTTCTTGTTGTTGTAGGTATTTCTGTTATTTCATAATGAAATATCTCTTTATTTGACGACGATGTTGATGCTGCACGATGAACATATGATCGTTTAATATTTTTCATTGACCTACTATTATTTGATTTTGCTGTACTATTAGTTTTACTTGAACGTGGTCTTTTTTCAGGTCGATCTATTAAATAATCTTCATTATTTTGAACATGAGGTATAATAGTAATTTCAGAATTTTTTAAAGAGATTTCATCAGAAGGTTTTATTTGATTATTTATTGTAGTTGATGGTAAAACATTTATACCCGATCGAGGACTTTCAATAGGTATTGGTTGAGATATTTTTTCAATTGAAGTAGAATTTCGTGATACCGTTCGACTTGTATTTTCCTCATCATTATCAGCACATGCATTAGGTAACCAAATTTCTACTGAACATTTTTGTTTAAAATTACCATTATCTGTTCTTGTTTCTTCATAAGTTACTTTATCAAGTGGTTGTATGCTAAGATTTTTTTGAGATTTAATCTGCTTTTGTAATAATAATGATGATGGTGATGATGATGTACGTGTATGTATTGTTGGTTGTTGTTCTTCATGCATTGGTGAAGATGATGCTTCATGTACTGTAGATATTGAAATAGTATTAGATACAGAAGTAATATAATTATCAAGTTTAGTTTGTACAGCTGCTAGCAGTTCAAGTGTAGGCGAATGAGAACGTGACATTTGAACTTTAGATTTTGTTAATGGACTTTTACATGTCTTATTACATTCAGTTATAATATTGGTTATATCAATTTTTGTTTGTTGATTATCTGTATTCATACTTATTGTGTCAACATCGTTGGATGCGTGTATGTCAAAATGGTTGCTGGAAGAAATAGACATGATTAGAATAAGTGATGTTAAATTCTTTCTTAACACAAAAAAAAACAAATTTCTATTCTGTTATTTTCACAATATGACATTGAAAAAATATCTTTAGAAAGATGAAATAAGATTAATACTTACGTTTATAAACTTTTGTATTGTTATTTAAATGAAAGAAAGAAAATGTTTTTTTTTGAATCCAATTTAACAATTTTTTGTTTCTTCACTACCATTTACATGTTAATTTTTTATATATCTATTCCATTTACATAATTACTTCAAAACAGGTGTAAATTTTCTTTTTCATGTAGTTAACCATCAACAAATGAATAGAATTTTAGAGTGTTACTTTGTCATTTACTCCACTAATTCTTTTTTTCTCTTCTCGTATTGTTAAAAATTCATGTTCGTTTATTTTTTTACATGATTTCAAACAGGTGTTGACTTTTTTTATAGGAGAAAAAGAAAATCGACATTTTTTTCTTGTATGTTTATATAGTTGTTAATATTGATGCATACAATTGGTCAAGCCATACATACAAGAACACTTTTCGAATCCCTTTAAAAATCGATCGAAAAGTTTTTATTGTCAAAAGAAAAATAAACGATTGTTAGAGTTTAATATCAATACGGATTGTTTTTCATTGATCCTAACTTAACCTTTGGTTTCATTCAAAAAAAAGAAAAAGAAACATTTATCTGTTATCACAATTGTCTGTTTCTCGTGTTATCGCCATACTTTATGACGATAGTCGAGAGTTTTTATTTTGATGTATTTTCAGTACATAAGTCCAAATGTTCCTTTTTTCTATGTCTCTTATTTTTGCATAATAAATATTGTGAAATATAAAGAATAAGTACACAGATAGCAAAGTCCTTGATAAGAAGAAAACAAAAACGAAAATAAAATGGTAAGCAAGTATTTGGCCATGAATAGATATTCATCTGTGAATAAATAATGTACGTTGTTCGATAGTAGACAATCCTTTTCGTACTAGTTACTATAGATATATAATATGTGTTCGAGTGTCGTGACATATCATTTTCTACGTACATCAAATTGGATGATTTGCAAGAAGAAAGAAAGAATACAGAAAGAAAGAATATCACACGAAAAAGATTACGAATATAACACAGATGACATCAAGTATATCGTGAATCAAACAAGTATATGTTGTATACTTTTACTATATCATCAAATACAAAGGTACAATGGTTCGTTTTATATTTATTCATAATATAATTTAGGATTTGTATGTTTTTTTTAAATTTATAAAAAAGGATTTTATATATTGTCGTCATAACAATGTTATCTAGTTATAATCAACAACAGAGACAACACTATTGACGTTTTCTTAAATCTTTAATTTAATAAATCTATACTCGACAGCTGATAATACAGTTTATTTCTTTTTTTATATTTATTGACTACTGACATACCAAATATAAGATGTACTTTTTAATAATAACTTGATATCATCTGTAAACTCTATTGACAGAAGTACAGCAAAAATTTTGCTTCGTCACCTTATGACAAGGAGAAATATGAGTATAAACGAATGTCTAAAGAGAATTTTCAAAGTATTTTTTATGAGTAAGAATAAAATTTTACATTGTTTTTAGATGATTAAATGTATAGTATTGTTGCTGATCTGTATCAAATATGGATACAGTTTTCCTGACGGCGCGCCACAAAGTGTGTGTAATACAATGATGCCTAATCATGACATTCCCGCTCAACAATGTCAACCGAAATATATTATTCAAGCTGATAAATCTGAATATGATACAAATGATATCATTCGAAGTAATTATAGACATAAAATTTCATTTTATTTATTTTTCTTATTCTATAGTTACTGTTCGTGCTCCAGCAGATAAGGATTATTTTAGAGGTATTCTTTTAATTGCAAAAAATGAAAATAATCAACAAATTATTGGTACTTGGTCAATAACAAATTCATCCATTAAAACAATTGCTTGTGATGAAATAGAAAACACAGGTATAACTCATGTATCATTAACTGATAAAATACAAATAGAAGCATTATGGCATTCACCTTCAATCTTACCTGCAGGAAATACTATCATTAAGTATAAAAACTCGAGTTTTTCTTTTTATAAATAAATATAGAATTATAAAATATTTAGAGCAACAATTGTTAAATCTTACGGTGAAATATATGTTGATTGTTTTAATATTACATTAAAACCAAAACAAGTATACTTATTATACTCTTTTAACATGTGAAGAAATTTTTTTTTTATTAAAAAATATTTAGAATAATAATGCACCACAAGTTCAATCAACGATAATAAATACTGAAAGAGATACATCAAGAAAAACAAATACAAATGTGATGTGGAATTATGCGAATAATATAGTAACAGTAACAATGAATACAGAACAAGTTAATATCGGTGAATGGCATGCTATTGGTTTTTCACTTGATCAACAGATGGTATTGAAATAATTTCCTTCTTACAATTTAGTTTATTCGGCATATTTTTATTAGGGTGATGAGTATGTATTTATCTGTCAAGTTTCTGCAACAGGTGTTACATCACTTCGACGAATGCATACAAAAGCTGGCAAACGACCGTATTTATATATTCAAAAATACTTTTCATGTATATTTATATTTGTATTTTCCAATAGACCATCTACTACTGTTGAAAAAGTAAATGTCACTAGTGCCGTATATGAAAATGGTCGTACTACCTGCCAGTTTTCATTTGAAACAATATCTGGACAAGCTACTGATGAACCAGCACCGATTGTTACTGGAAAAGATTATTATTTAATTTTTGCTGCTGGAGTATTAAGAACAGAAGGTATATATTATTAGAAAATGTAATCATAAAATCTATAATCAATTTGTTTATAATTATTTTAATAGAACAAGTAGCTAAACATAATCTAACATTTGTTTCATCTAAAACTTATCAACTACAAAATTCTGAAACAATTAATTTTGATGAATCAGCTGTAAGTGTGAATTATGAAATATTTAAATCAATTAGCATAGAAAATGGTATTTTATATTTGTTAGACAACCACACCAATGCCGATTACAACAACAGCTCCCTCAACAAGTGATATTAGAGGTAATATTAGTTGGACATATACTAATGGTGTAACAGATGTTAAAATGATAATTACTAATTTAAAAATATCACAATGGTTAGCAATTGGTCTTTCAACTGATGATTCAATGGTATAAAAGCTATTCATATATTTTACAGATTAGAATATTTTTTGATTTACATAGGGACAAGATCATGTATTCATTTGTCAACATTTAGCTGATAATACTATTTCTCTACAACGTTTCCTTAATCCTGATGGTCATGCACGACCAGTTTTAGCTAATGTTCTACCGAATGTAGGTGGTACTTTTAATGTTAGCCGACAAAAAATTGAAAATGGTATAGCTTATTGTGATTTTACATTGTCGAATTTTGTAAATGCAAAACGCCAAACACGTCAGCTTCTTATTCCTAACCTTTCTCAGACTGCGTCATATCAACCATTAATAGCTATGGGAAATCTTGATAGTTCAAGTAAGTATTGTTATTATTATTATTCTAAATATATTCGATTTACAACCAATAGATATGTTAATAAGACATGCACGAAATGCTCGTACACCATTATCAAAAAATGTTCTATTGAATCAACCAGAAATAATTAATCTTGACGAATTGGTTGTAAGTGTGAATTATGAAATACTTAAATTAATTATCATAGAAAATGTTATTCTGTATTTGTTAGACAACTACAACAACAGCTTCACCAGCAACTGATATCAGAGTTAATGTTAGTTGGACATATACTAATGGTGTAACAGATGTTAGAATGATAATTACCAATTTAAAAATATCACAATGGTTAGCAATTGGTCTTTCAACTGATGATTCAATGGTATAAAAGATTTTGATTTATTTTACAGATTAAAACATTTTTTGATTTATATAGGGACAAGATCATGTATTTATTTGTCAACATTTAGCTGATAATACTATTTCTCTACAACGTTTCATTAATCCTAATGGTCATGAACGACCAGTTTTAGCTAATGACTTACCAAATGTAGGTGGTACTTTTAATGTTAGCCGACAAAAACTTGAAAATGGTATAGCTCATTGTGATTTTACATTATCGAATTTTGGAAATGCAAGACGTCATTCACGTCAGATTAGTTTTCCTGAACTTTCACAAACTACCACATATCAACCATTAATAGCTTTTGGATTTTTAGATAGTTCAAGTAAGTATTATTATTATTATTATTCAAAATATATATTTTATTTAAAAATAAAACATTTTTATTTATGATTAATAGATGTATTACAGAGACATTCACAAAATGCTCGTACAGCACTATCAGAAAAGGTTTTATTAAATCGAGCAGAAACAATTGTCTACAATATAGGATCAACTGGATCAGATTCAACTGCTCTAATGAAAGCACATGGTATTATAATGATATTTGCATGGATAGTACTTGTTTCAACTGGTATTTTAATTGCACGTTATTTTAAAAAATCATGGTCAACACGAAAAATTTGTGGTAAAGCAGTTTGGTTTGCAATTCATCGTACATTAATGACCAGTGTTGCTATTTTAACATTGATTGCATTTATTCTTATTCTTGTCTATAAAAAAGGTCAATGGATATCACAAAAAAATCAACGTGAATTTGCTCATTCAATAGTTGGTATACTTGTTATAAGTTTTGCAGTAATTCAACCATTCATGGCATTATTTCGTTGTAATCCAGATGATGATTATCGTTTTATATTTAATTATGCACATGCATTTGTTGGTTTCAGTGCATTTATACTTTCAATTGTTGCAATATTTTTAGCCATGTTTTTTACACAATTTAATTTTCAAGCAAATAAAGAATGGGCTATTTTAGTTACATGGACATGTTGGTTACCTATTATTTTTATTATATTTGAAATAATAGAATATTATTTTCAAAAACATATCAACAATGAAAAAACAAATTCTTATAACATGAATGATCGTCATGGAACAGGAACAACAAAAACAGACACAATCGAATCAAAAGAAAATGCCACTAAAAGTCGAATTAAAAGTTTTTTTCTTTTAGTTCATTTTATAATCGCTTTTGGATTGTCATTAGCATTAATGATTCTCATTGGACAGGCATAAAATTATCGAATTTTAAACTCTTTCTTATATATATATATACATATTGTAATATCTTATCTACGTAGTTATTCTTTTAGTCTCTTTTTTTCATTCATTTCAATATTTAATGCATTAATAAATAAAAAGAATTACAGTTCAAGAAAAAATAAATTCTGTCATCAATAACAAACACTAAAAATAAGGGAAATATGTTTTGCGGTCAGTAAAATAATTGCAATAGCAGTAAATATATTAACTGGTCAGTTTTCAAAAAAATCAGTAAACAATTCAAAAGTGGTCAGTAGATTTTGTGGAAGTAGCAGTGAAAAAATATGATTTTTGTCAGTAAAAAAAAGAAAAGTAGACCATCTTTGCACAAATTTATATTTTTTTACTTTCCATCCCATTTTATTTACTGATCGTTTAAATTTTATAATGGACCTATCAAATTAATTACTGACCACTTCAATCATTCACTAATCAATCATTACTTTACTGACCATTCAATAATTCTACTGACCACTTGAATGACACCCATAAATAAGTATACTACTCTTAGATCATCACTGAATGAGATACTTATTTACATCTCCTGACTTTTGCTTAGTTGCTGGAAACTTCAATACTATATTCGTAATAAAAATTTATTCTCTTATATATTGATCGTGTTCGCGATAAACTCTATTTTAGAACATACATCATAGTTACTAGAAGAAACACTTTGTGTTTTTTAATGCTCTGAAGAATTCCGTACATTAAAATATTGAAGTGAAGAAAAGAGACTAATTGATAAAACTTTGTTTATGAAAATGATATTTAAATTTCTTGTTCATATTAAGTTTAATACTTACTGCATTGAATTCTACATTCAATTTGAAAAATATGTACTGCGTAATCAAGTTAGTTTAACAAAAAATTCGAAATACTATAAGTAAATAAATAAAAGCAATTTTTCTTTTACTCAATCTCATCTTCTTTTATACTAAAAAAATATTTTAATAATACTCGGTCAAGTATTCATCAATCAATATTTTTGTATTTAGTTACTATTTATTTTAAGTAGTGTTGCCAAGAAACCTATTTTCTTTGTCACTTCGTTTATTCCATTAAATTTGTTTTTTTGTTGATGTTTACTGTGTGAATATATTTCATTTACCACACACACATGTATAATAGAAGAAAAGGAGAAGAAATTCTTTTTTAATTTCTATTTTTAATAGATCTTTTTTAGCGAATATAAAAAGAACTCATTTGATAGGCTGTCAGACAATCTTTTATAATCATTTATAAAAAGAAAGAAAAAAGGAAAAACATGGAATCAAACAATTTTGTTGCTATTATTTTCTGTGTTATATTTAGTTGAAAGAGAAAAATAAGAATTTTATTAATTCTTTTTTTTTCTCCTTTTTTTCTCTTGCTTAGTAACAACAAATCCGACATGAAATATAGAGAACAACATGCCGTTAGTTAATTGTGTATTTGTTAAAGGATGCTTTCGTTGAATAGCAACCGTCCAATAATACTCAAAACATCACATTCGACAGCTGTAGAAGCGTTGGCTTCCTGAATTTTTTGTATATCTTTATGAAAAGAAAACATTTTCTTCTTTTTTTTTCTTCTATTGTGCAGTTCAGAGTTAAAAACAATGCAAAATATTATTTCAGATTAAAAATAAACTATGGCTGCATCAGCCGGACAGGCAAGCAATGGTGCCAATTCGTTTCTCGATAGATATCGATCAAATTTAAATACACCACGAGGGTAAGATATTACTACTACTACTACTATTCACATATAAATATTATCTACTCAACAACATCGTATCAAATAGCATCCGTAAAAGAAAAAAACAGCATATTTATTCAGCTAGAAGAAGTGAGATTGACATATAGTTTATAAGTAATTATATTATAATGTAAAGAAAAAGAACAAGTATGTCCGTGACACTTATAAGTTTTTTAATAAACTCATTAAAAGAAGGCATATCAACTATCTTGCTATATATTACTTATCCATCGAATTAATAATAATGCAAAACACTATCAATAAGAAACTATACATATTTTTTTTTCTTATTTTAGAGGTCAAACTAATAATAATAATAATAATTATGCACCACCAAAGTAAGTAATTGTGTTAAACTACGATTATCATTTATCTAACTTCTAATTTTAATTGTCCGTTTTCAAAAAGATGTATATTTCATTGTTTTCCTCTGATTTAGTTGTTGTCAGTGTAATTCACCACGAAGGTAAAAATCTACAGAAAAAAAACAAAAAATTAACATAATAACTTGCTCATCTTTCTAATTTTACTAAGACTCTCTAATTACAGTTCATTTTTACTTTATGATTCATTTTCTATGATAATATACTTTTATTTCATATCAATTTTTTTAGTAATAGTTATCAACAACCACAACAACAACAACCAAGACAAGTATTAACACAACAACAAAATTCACAAAATTATGGTCCAAATGTTGATACATCAGTATATCGTACTCAAGGCAATGTTTTTCATGATGAACGTGCTGGAAATGATATTCTTGCTCGTGCTGGTCCAAGTCATCATTACCAACGCGCGGATTATCGTACCCATGAAAGTAAAAAAACTACAATAAATCATATGTCTTCTATTTTTTTAATTCTATTTAGTTATTTCATCTGATGGTCGACTGGACAATTTAAATGTACAAATGGATCATGAACCATTACGTGTTGTTAAACCAAATGAACAAAATGTTCATTATAAACAACAAGTTAATGTACGCTTTTTGGAACCACCACCAGGACCTGAACCAGCACCAATTATCATTAAGGTAAATATTTTATTGGTTGAAGTTTTTATTTATAGCTATTATAAACTTAGGAACGTCATGCACCAGCACCACCTGCACCACCTCCATTGGTTATTCGACAACGTCCACCAACTCCACCAACACCTCCACCTCTTATTATTCGTAAGATTTTTTATGTTTATTTTCAAATTTTGCTATATTAATTGTTTAAAAATTAGGTGAACGTCCACCAACACCACCAGTTCAACAACAACCTCAAATTATTGAAAAGATTTTACCAGCACCACCAGCTCCACCTCGTCAAGTTATAGTCGAACGACTTCCACCACCACCACCAAAACCACGGCAAGTTATTTATGAAAAATGGTTACCTTATGAAGATACTAAAGAACGACCAGTTATTGTCCATCGAGCACCACCTCAAGAAGTGTAAGTTAATCGAATTAAAAACAATTTGACTTATTTTTAATAATTATTTATTTATAGAATTAAACAACCAAAAAATCTTATTATTGAATATGAACAAGCACAAGCTCATCATGAACAAGTTATTGTTGATGAAGGTGTTTTTCGTGCCGATCCTAAATCACATAATTCAACAAGTACTCCTGGGTAAAACAAATAACGATTTTCTTCCTTCAATATTTTTATGTAATATATATAGGGAAATACGTATTGTTGATAAAATATCTGATCTTCCAGTGAATTATTCGAAATATTTAACAAATCGTAATACTACATCTCGATCATTACCATCTTCAAGTAGCTATGATCAACAACAAGGAGCTCAACCACAGGCAAGTCAAACTGGACCAGCACAACAATATCGTGCAAACACTTACAGTAATCCAGGTTAGTTATTTTTAGAAATATATAGAAAATTTTCTTATTTAAATACTATATTTTAGGTGCATATCAAACAACCTATCGTGCATCATATAAAAATCAAACTGGAAATCGAAATGGTTTAGGACCAAATAGTAACAACGATGTAAATCAATCGGCAAACTTTGCAAAATATACTTAGAAGAATATAACGAACGAACTTTATTTGAAAAAAAAGGACATAAAAATTCTTAACCCATGAACAACCTAATTGTATCTACATATAGAATCATAATAATGACAAACAATCGAAAGGAAAACTTTCGTTTGTTTTGCCATTTTTTTCTCTTCTTCTTAGCCTATTCTCTATTTTTAATTTAATATTTCGTCTCTCTTTGCGAAACAAACATAAACAAATTAAGTTTTTTCACCTTATTTTTTTAATTTATTATTTATTTGAAAAAAAATTCTCATAAATAGAAATCATTCATATGAACTATTGATTATATAATTGAATCAAAGAATACAATGTTGCACGAAGGAATGGTATGAAAATTGTCTTATCACCATCTTTGAAAAAAATGAAAAAGAGACTGAATCGTTTAACTTTAAAATGATAGAAATAATCCGTAAATTTTTAAGAAGAAATAACTCGTACTAAACGTTTACATATCTATTCAATTTCTTCAGTAACATCTCAACAACAACAAATCTGAATAATTAATCAAGTGTAAGAAATGACTGAAAAGTATTACAAAAGTACTGTATCTTCAAATTAGTGGCTAATAATTGTATACAATTAGAGGTTGTATCATTTGACAATCATCTTTTGTAATTGGAAACATAATTTGTCAAGATTACTAGAAATTCATATCAGCAGGTCCAAAACTTTGCAAAGTTTTGATATATAAATTAGGGAAGCGTTCAAGTATATCGATTCGAAAGTTTTCTTTACGTTATTATTGTATTCTCACAAAAACCCTATTAAATGAATCTATGTTCAGCCATTTGATTAATATACATTATTCAAGTGTCGCACAAATCATCGCATATAGTATTAGACAAAAATTTTGAATATTATCTTCTGTATAGTTATATTATTGTTGAATAACAATTATTGCAACAAAATATACGTGTCTGCATGGAAAAAGTCTTTAAGAATTATTATGATGTAAAATATTATATAACACTTGATGACATCTGCTGGAGTTCTCATAATAGAGTATGTCTACAAGAAAATGATTGGTATCGTTCATAAGACAGACTCATAATGATGAAGAAAAGGATGCAAATATGACTGAAAAACAGAGAAGAATGTCTATAGTACATGACGCACTTGCAAAGATCGGATTTCTTATTTGCTTTGCATGTCGTTTTGACATTATACAAATCCAAGCATTACATATTTTTATATGCAATTAACGTTTTGTATTCCATATATTTATTCTATTCTTTTTCTACACATTTTTGTTATAATAGCAATCTCGACTTGTACTATTTATCTATTTTTAGATAATATATTTATTTATTTATTATAATATTTCATATTAGTTTTCTAATGCTTGTTAATGGGTTACAATTATATCAAACGATTTCAATCATACTAATGAATACTTATGTCTCATAACATCTATTCATAGCGGTACTTCAAAGTTTTACTTGTTATTTAGTACAGTTTCAACAGAATAGATTAATAATTAAATTTATATCTATTCATTTCATTATTTCGATAATTAATAACTATTTTCTTAATTAACAAAAAATTTTTACACGGTTAGAATTTTTAGTAGAAATGATAGACCATATCTTTTTAATCTTTGACTGTCTGTTTTTCCTAATAGATCGATAGAAATAATCGAAAACTCGTTCTAATTATATACTATTGTTTTCTATCTACTTCGACTAAAGAATTCGTTGCATATAAATAAAAATATACTCAATTATTTTTCTTTTCAAAATATGCAAATTTGAAAATGATTCGAAAGATCAAGGAATGAAATAATATGGTTTTTTTTGTCTATAATGAATACAATCACGCATTTCGAAAACCTCTTTTTTTGTATAAGTAACATGAATAATGTCTGACATTTTTCATTCGAATTACATAAGTATGTATTCACAAACAATATGATAGATTAATTGTAATTTATTATTATTATATTGATCCTGTGAACACTAACTATTAATAACGTAAATTTTTACTTTACTTCTATTCTACCAACCAACAAAAAAAGAGAGGTAAATATGTCATGCTTTTTGTTTCTTTTTTTTTTTCTTTCGACTGCCACGTATGTCTTTACATTCTACCTGCGAAAGAAAAGGAAAAAGAAAAAAGAAAAAAAAAGAATGAGATCGAGCATGCATGCATGGTGTGAGCAATATGATCGACATTGACGGTATATACATTAAGGTATTACATTCAAAACACATCTGTGACATTCAAATGATTGTATATATTTGCAATATTTTACAGATATCAAATATAAATTAACAACATATGATCAGTTTTTTTTCTTTATTTTTTTACTATGATTTCAGATAAAGAAAATCTAATTCGATTAATATCTATGATTTGAATTTCAAATGGAACAAACAATTAATGATTCAATTTTACGATCAAAATCTTCAAATATGAATGATTTATCAACAACAACAAATAACATAAATCATGATGATGGCGGTGATGATGATGATGAAATCGATCATGATTCAGCTCATTTAGTTGAATTAAATAATCGAATTAAAAGTGATTTTATGTCTTATTGTTTATCATTTGTACAAGAAGATGAAGAAGCTCGAGAATGTGTTCATATTGTATGGAATAAATATTTACAATGTGTTGGTGATGTATCGATGGTAAATTAAAATATTACAATAAATTATTTCATACAAATTTTTTCTTTAGATATCCGCTTTTTTCGATACACTTCCATTTAATATGAAATCGTTAGTATTTCCTAAATATCAAAATGAAATAAATGAATGGTATCAAGATTTATTTCATATTAATTCTAATACAATTCTATATTCAACATTTTATTCTGAAACATTTTCACGTATAATACGTTATGCAATTAAGCAATCTCATAAGGAAAATGATTTCTTAAATAAAAAAGCTATTATTTATGTATCAGTTGATTTTAATAATCATTTAAAAACTGATTTATTATCTTCAATACCAAATATTAAGTTTCAAACTGTTCAAAATAATGTTTTATTTGAAGATATGATTGATATTAATCAATTAAATGAAATTATTAAACATGATTTAAATGATACACAATCTTATCCATGTATGGTTATTGCTAATGCAGGTAAATATTCAATAGTATCAGGAAAATAAAATTCTTTCGAATTTTTAGGAACTGCTGTATTAGGTCGTTGTGATGAAATAACAAAAATTAAACAAGTTTGTAATCAAAATAATCTTTGGCTTCATGTTATAGGTGATTTAGTAGGTACATTAGCATTATTATCAACAGTTAAAGATACTGTTAATATTAATTGTGATAGTTTAACAGTTGATACTGTAAAATTATTTGGTATTCAAAATTTACCATATTTAACATTTTTTATTCGTCCAATATTAGATATAACACAAAATAAACAAATCGAAAATAATTCTATACAAGATGAACAATTAAATAATGATAATTCATCAACAGTATCAACAGATAGTACAAATAGAACATTATCATCATCATCATCTTCTTCCACAACAGCAAATCATAATAATTCATCAATATCACATCCATTTTATGATCATATTTTACATAGTCCATCAATTAGTTTCTTAAGTCTATGGTCTATTAGTCAACGATGTTCAAAAGCTAATGTTCTTTATCATATGAAACATTCATTTAATTTAGTAAATTCATTAATGCAACGTTTCAAACAAATAGGAACATTAAGAATACTTAATGATGATAATAATCAAGGAAATTTAACATTTAAACGTATTTGTTCAGGTGATGCACCAGATGATCTATTACCCAAAACTATTGTTATTTTTCGCTTTGAAACTATTGATGTACCAGAAGTAAGCATATTTTAAATTACATTAATACGTAGGAGTCTTTTGTTAGGAAAAAAGAAGGTGAATCATTGAACGTGAAAACAAATAACAGTTTTATGACGCTATTAGCGTGTAGACAAATCTCCAGGAAATGAGGTCGAATGAATATCCAATTGAATTTTATGTTAAAAAGAAGATTGTTGTATATAAATACAATAAAATCATTAAGTACTTCCAAACCTTTTTTGGCGCTTTGAGGTCATCCTATACTCACCTCACATCCTGGTTTTGAATGATATGAGAGAATAAAAGCTCTCCATTATATGAAAAGTTGATGGTGACTGAGTCTAAAATGACACTGGTTGAGAGTGGGTGTAGGAAATTATTTTATCTTTATTACAAATACGTGAATATAAAGTAGTTTTAGCGAATAGAGTTTTTTAACGGTATAGCTGTATTATGCTAATTTATAATTATGTGAGTATACAGCCAGATATAGAGAAATCTTAGAAATATTTTGTGACAAACGTGCGGAAACAATGAAAAATGAGTGATGGAAAATTTTTTTGTAAGCTATAATAATTTTCCCTGCAGGAAAAATTCTAAAAGTAGAAAGAAGAAGTACGGGGTTTTTCTCTTTCACGGCCACGGCCCTCTGTTACATGTAAAAATCTTTAGGAACGCAACGCGATATGACAGAAAAGAATTATAAACAAACTCAAATAGCTTGAAGAGTTTGGATATCTGATCTGAACCTTAATACATATGAATATAATGCATGTCAAACTTCTACATAGTTATATGCATATTACTTCGAAAAAATGTTCTCTATAATAGGCTTAGGATATGCATTTATGCATAACATATAAACAAATGTAAAGAATCAACTTAGTCAAAGTAAGCAGTAGAGCCAGCGAAATTAGTAATATCAACCGAGTGAATACTTTTTCTGATAATTATTCGCTAAACAAATAAACTTAATGTTTAAAATTAGTTCTGGTAGAATCTATACTATGCCAATGAATTCACATGATATCAGTTGATTTCGAATAAAAAAGAAGCGTCCTTCTGATTCTACTACTTCCATCTCAATGTTAGTACTACAGAGTCAATGATTTCTTAAATAAAAAGCATTGAGTTTGATTAACTTTGAAAAGAAATCAATCAGATATAAATCATTTTCTAAGTTTCTGGATAAATGGCAATGAATGAAAAATATATCAGGCGATTCAACTGACTTGAATAGATTGAGGCCAGCTGTTTCATCATAGATTTCAACTGAAAAATGAATTCATAATTAGAAATCGATTTTTTAAAAATTTATTTAAATCTATGAATTAGTATTTCAATGTTATATTAATTCATACATGTATATACGAACCTTTAGTGGCTAAGTAATATCGAGAGAAAGACTATAGCATATAATAAAGTTTTAAAAAATATTTAATCTAGAAAAAATTGTTCTATCTATAAAATGTATTTAGATTGAACATTTGAATAATCTTGATGATTATATTGATCTTCTTAATCTCTGGTTATATGATAAACTTTCACAACAATATCCTAAGATGAATTTACAATTAATAAAAAGTGTTCATTTTCAAATGTTAAAATCTAATAATAATAATGAAAATAATCCTACAAATTTAGCACCAGCACATGCTATTCGTTTTGCACCATTAGAACATTTACAAGATGCTATTGATGAACAAGAAATGCAAGCTTTTACGGATGATGTACAACGTTATAGTGATATTCTTCTTGCTACAATGACAGCACGTGCACGTCTTTCATCAAGTGTAGCTAAATATGAAAATCTTATTACAATTCCTATGTCTCATTGGGCTGGTATAGGAGCAGTTCGTTATATTCCAACTCGTGAAAATTCAATTGAAAAATCTGATATGTCATCAAATGAAATTAATACAATTCAAGCTGAATTAGCAAGAAAATTACAAACAAATGATTCGGCATTTTCATTAGGTGGTGGAACAAATGAACATGATTCGATGTTTTATTTACGTTTAGGAATGATTAGAAAACGTGATGATCTTGATGTATTATTACAAAAAATTGCTGATGGTGGTAAAGAAACTGAAACGGCATTAAAATATGTTGAAGATATGGCAGAAAAAATTAAAATAGGAATAGACAAAGTTCAAAAAGATTTACAAAATGAAAATCAACAAATACTTGCACAAGAAGGTCTTTTGAGACAATTACCAGTTATATCAAGTAAAATTAAATAATTTATTTTCCATCGATCTTTTTCTTTTCTTATTTTAGATATTATGTCATGGTGGAGTCCATCTCCAACAACATCACCATTAGCTACAAAAGGTCGATCATTTGATTTAAATTCTGGTCGTGTAGAATCTACTGAAGACACTTATGCTTATCGAATGCAAGTTCAGAAACAATCACCTCATGCACCTACGCATAATGATGATGACGATGATGATCAAAAAATTATAACTTCAACAAATTCTGATACAATTTTAAATTCTACTGATAGCAAACTTGAACAAAAGGATAATCAATAAATCTGTGATAAATAGAAAGCATAAATAACATTATAATCAATTGGCTTTTAGTATCAATTATATTTTATCAAAGATAATGTCCATCTTATGTTTTTTTCTCTATGTGCTTGAGTGCGTTTTTATGTTGAATAATTCATTCGTTTCTTTTTTTTCTTCTTCTTCTTCTTCTTTAATTGGTTATGCAGCAATTTAAACATTCACTTTCTTTCTATTATTGTCTATGTTTAGTTCTTTAATATAATAATATTAATAATAATAAATAATTTACTTTTATTAAATTTTTAAGAGTCTACCCTAAAATTTATTATAGTTAATTGATTGCATAACACTATAAATTTTTATTTTATTGAAAGAAAATAGTTTCCTATGATAACTTCAATTAAGCTTTAAAAAAAAGAGAACTATTTATTGATAGAATATCGTTTTTTTTTATGCTTTATAATTTTATTTGAGATGATAATATATCATATTCTATACAGGAAATTAATTATTAAAATGTATAGTACTTCAACAAGGTCTAGTGAAATATAAGAATAGCAGATGATTTAAGGCCAATATATGTGTTAGAATTTTTATTTGATTTTCCAATTCATCAATACAATTGTCTTTTATTTTTTCATATAATAAGATTATACAAAATTATTATTATTATTTTCGATATGATCAAAATATTCTCACTGATACTGGTATCTTGCATTGATAGAATGGGGCAATATATGATCTTATATTATAAAAGCATTTGGTTTTTTATGCCGAAGGACGACTGAATAATTAGACTGTTATTATTAATCTTCAATAAGCTAATACAATTGTTAATAATAGAAATAGATTATTAAATTCATATACAAATCTCACATACATATATAGCCATATGTCAATAGTTTGCTTAAATCATATATATATATGGTATTGAATTCCCTAAAGACTTTTCTAACAAGGCATTAAGATTCTTTTTTTTCTCTATAATAATTCAATGATTATTTTAGTAATAGCAAAAACTTACGAGTGTAAAATAGAAAAGTACTCAGTTTGATATAATTGATTTTGGTGAGAAAAAAAAAGAAGTTTTTTGCACTAGTTTTTATTGTGATTGTCGCTTGCACTGTTACTCGTAAATGTTTTTTCTCCTCTGGACTAATATTGATTGAGAATATTACTGAACGCCTATTGATTTCCGTTCAATTCAACAGAAATCATTAGAAACGGAACAAACGATTAATTTTGCCTTCTAGATGAAATGATCACAAGTGTATAGCAGGTATGAAAGAAAGATTTCTTTTCTCGGTTTTTTTATTCACGCTTAATGACGATTTATTACATAGACGAGACACATGATATATTGATCGAGGCCACGTATAATATTCATTGAGTTTATCGACCATAGCTTCATACATATTTTATTTCAAGCTCATAACGCACCTTCTCAACATATATCATATAATCTCCATTTCGTGACTTGTCATCAAAGTACTTCTTTCAATTATCCGTTGGTGCAATAACAAGTACTTAGACTTATATGAGGAACATTTTTTTTTCTTTTGTTTTTATAGTTCATTTTGATTATTATATGTATATCTGTATATCATAATAAAAATACATATTACCTTGATATATGGAGGAGTTGTGTCATTTTTTATTTGAATTAGTGTCATTGATTTGGTATGTTCATCTTGTGAATGCTTGTCATTTTTTGTTCTACTCAACATCGTCATGCTTTTAATTAAAACAAAGGAAACTAATGTCACAAACTGTCGAGTGATTTTTAGACAGATATTCAATTAATTATTAAAAACAAAGAAAGCTATAAATAAAATATTTAATCATTAGTTAATTTTAAAATCATACAAAACTATTCAAGATTTATCTTTCTTCGTTCGTTCTTTATTCATTACAGAACCGAGAGAGAGAAAAAAAATCAATTTATCTTATAAATTGCTTTCTTTTTATGGAAAATAGACATCCATTTTGCACTTTAAGAAACATCAACTTAAAAGAACTTTTATATATATATGCTTTTTCACTAAATGATAGAGATGATGTTATCTATATTCTCATTTCTAAGAGAATCTTTCTTTATTCTTATTCCTTTTATATTCATGTGTCCTTACTTCAATAGGTTTGTTCAAGCACTGCTTGTATATTTATGTTCTTTTCATCCCCCATTTTATCTTTTCAAACATAAGTATTGATTGTTTGCATTAAGATCGACTAAATATTTACAAGTTACGAGCAGAAAATCAACCAACAAGTATGCAAGCAAAACAGTTTATATGACTAAGATGAAAATATCTATCGTTTTCTTTTTATTTTATTTTTTCTTCTTATGCCCTCGAGGTAAAATAAAGATCTCGGTGTGAGAGAGTTGACAATGACACATTTATTTATAAGAATAATATTGAAAATCTAAGATGTTCGATGAATATTTCAGTGAATTATTAATATCTGGTGAAGAGAGTATGCATCAAGAGTGGTAACACGGTAACCAAAAGAACGATAAAGAAAAACAAGGAAGACATATTCTGGTGACAGAAAAGATAGGATGAGAAAGGAAGACAGATCATCATTCTCATCATCATCATCATCACCATCTACACATTATCATTATCAGAAGAAGAAGAAGAAAAAAAGATCTTTTCTTCTTGCTACATGACTCGTGACACACGCGAAGGGAAAAAAGTAGAGAGGAAAAAGGAGGAGAGGGAGAGAGAGGGAATAATGTGGAAATGAACAAAAATGAAAATAAAAAATAACAAATCTGCTACGTTGTGCGTAATACATCGTTGCGGCTCGTCTGTTCTTTCTTTCTTCTTCATTTTCTTTTTTTTCACTCAGTTTTTTTTCTATCAGCATCTAGTTTTCTTTGACTGTTACACATAAAAGTAACATAAATAGATATATATATATATATATATATATAAATTTGTAAAGATATGCGTCAGATGGATAATAAAAATCAATGATATGGATGAATGATTCATCACCGGGCTGACACTTAGTCAGTCTCAAATTGTCTCGTAATGTGCCATGCGTCTCATACTATTACAATTACTTCTTCTCATCTGGATTCACAATCATATCTTTTGTTTTGGTTTACAAAGACTTACTTCAACAATAGCAACAACAACAACACTGAAATCAAAATCAACAAAAACGGACGGAATTGATTTGCAAGATGGTCATCCAAATCATCGATTGTGGCAAAAAATGATTGATACAGAACGTGCATCGTCTAGTGATTGGTATGTTTAATGTTTAAATTTATTTTTTATAAGTTATTTTCTTATTTCTTACTGCTATTTTTCTACGATGAGCTTTATAGTTTAATTAAACTTATATATGTATATATATATATAGAAAAAAAAATGATGAATGGCAGGTGCATGAAAATTAATGGTATTAGCGTTGTTGTTGTTCTTGTTGTTGATGACGATGATGTTATCGTGAATAGCATTTAAATCTTGTGACAAGAAACATGTTGTTAAACAGAGACAGAAGAACAATAGAAAAGCTAACGAAGAATGATAAAAATATAAATCTGCATTTCCTTGTACTTCATTAAAGTAATACGTAATTTTACTATGTCGAGTTACTTGACCTTCTATGTTACCATTATTAAGATATAAATCTATGAATATTTCTATCTTATTCTATGGGTTAAAATGTAGACGACTGATCTTATCAGTTGTTAGAGATACCGAAAGTCATAAATCATATCTGAGACAAGAATAGTACGAATCAGACTAATAATCATAATATATCAAAAACAAGTAGAAAAAACGAAGGTTTCATGTATATATATATATATAGAAACATCACTAGCAACTTGTGACGCATGCGATCCGGATGCTCAATGTCGCTGCATACATTACTTACTAATTTTCTTACCTTGATTCATCTAAGATAACTATTACAATAGAGAGATAGTAAGAACAAAAAAGTTACTTAACATCAAATATTACAGCGACAATCCATCCTTCCTCGGTATACAATGCAGCAATTAAATAAAAAAGACCTGTTCTAGTTGTTAACCAAATATGTAATTGTATATCGAGTTGTTTTCATCAATTTCACATAAAAATCTATCAGTATAATACTTACAGTTCGTCGAAGCAATGTTATATTCTTGTTCAATGTATTCACAAAAGCGTTATCAGATTGCATTAATTTCTCCTCTCTTTCCGTTCTTGTGAAAGCCTATCAGAATTATATATCTTGTTTTTAAGTTGCGCTTTTTTTTCTTTCTTTTTACTATTCAATCACGAAACTATGAACGGATACATATATATGTGTAGTAAATTCAATGAGAAATTCGTCATATTCATAGATATCGCTGACATTCATCTATTCTGTTGCATTATGATTGAATCAATTACGGCTCTTTAATATGTGTGTATACACATTCTTATGCTAATCAGTATAAGAACCAAGTTTTTCAGCAATCGTGATAAAATACATAAGCATATGATATATATTAACAAGCAAGCTTTGATAAAAAGAAAAAAGAAAAACAAGAAGATGGCACGCAATCGATCTTGTCTGTTAATTAAAGAAATATTGAGGGCAAACAAACAAAAGGCCAAAATTAAATTAGATTATTATAGACACTAATAGAGAGACGAACAAGAAAATAGCAACTGCGAGAATTGTTACTCGTGTTACTAATCTATTCAAGTTAATATTAATAATAACAAGAGCATCAGTTCATGTTTGACACGATATAAGAAATAAATATTTGTATGTCTTTCATACATAATTCTTGTAATCATGAGAGAATATACATGCAAATAGATTTGCCTTGCGGACTAAGGAAATTTCTAAAGATGTTGATGATCTTATTTGTGAGTCTCTCAATCTTTACGGATGAATCTTGCATTCACTCACGCCTTTCTCGTCGGCAATTGTCGTCCTTGTATTCATTAAAATGAGTCTATATCGAATTCATAGTCCGTTATCTTCTTTCTATATTTAAGTGAAAGTGACATTGATCCCAATCTTATGAAAGCAAAGAATATAAAAGTGAATATTGTAAGTGACTGTCGAGAGAGAGAAATGCAATCGTTTATTATAGGTTTTGCTTGCTATGAATTGAGTAGTAGTGGTGTAAATTGATTTTGAGCATGACAAGCGAGTACAACGATAGAGAAAGTTGAATAACTAGAAAGATAGAGAGTGAGAGTAAAAGAAGAAATACAAAAAATAAAAGAAGAAGAAGAAGAAGAAGGAGGAGGAGGAGGGGAAGGAGAAGACGAAGAATAAAGAAGGACAGGAGCAAGGCCCCGATCGACTAGGAAAATCTAAAAATAACTGCATCGAGTATATGATTCTATGAACAACTGCAAGGCAAAAATTGCTACAGAAGAGGCACGGTAAATAAGAAAAGAATCGAGAGAAAATAGAGAAAAATAATGTAAAGAAAAGACGTTGTTGACAATGGAACAACTGAAATAGTAGAGTGATTATTATCTAGCTCAGTATAAGCTTTTGTATTGGCAATGTTCATCAGCCTCATCCATGATTCGATCCAATATTATAATCGTGCTTATTCTTGACGCACTTTTCTTTCAATATCCGTTGTTTTGTAAAGAAGAGTCAACAAATAAGAACAATTTGATCACTAATGATCCCATCGGGTGGGTTTTTGATTGCTTTCTTTTCTTAATTGCATTCACTTTAGATTTCTTCAAGAGTAAAATTTCCTTTTTTTCTCTTTCATTTCAACGTTTTCTTTGTAATTTAATCTAGCATCGACATCGGTTGATCGAAGAACAACAGTAAATAAGATAAGATAGACAAGATAGATGTTTAGAAAGAAAATTGTTTGAAAGAGAAAGCTATGTTTTTTAATGGATTTCAAGGGTATAAAGCAGAAACATTTAAAAGCAACTAATGAACCACTATATAAGTATTAGTGCTTGAAACGTGTCTCATGCCATAGTCTTATAGGCTTTATTGGATGTTTTTCTTCTAAAAAAAACAACAATCTCTATGATGACGAACAAAATTAGTCCTTGACCATTATAAAGCAATCTGATCCGAGAAAGATTTATCGTTGCACTTTATTAAAAAAACACCTCGCAATGGGAGACCATTTGCTATAGTCGTTTCTATTATATAAATTATTATAATGGCATTTTTCAGCTTGATAGCAAATGTCTAATGTCACATATGGACATTTACTTTACATCGCATAGTTTCAGATAACATAAGGAAATGAAATACATTCTTTTGTCTATGTTTTCATCTAAATGGATGTAAACATCCATTGACAAGAGCAAATTGAAATTATGTGTTATATCATTAAGTACGCCATGGATAATATCTGCATAATGTCTTCTTATACGATTTTACTAATGATCGTATAGTTAATTTATAAATGGAGAAAAAATAGAAAGAAACAAAGGTGAAGAGGCAATAGAGGAAGTATATGGGGGTAGCACGTCCAAGATTGCTACCACATTGATTGCTCTTGTAATAAAAAGAGTTTTAGAACCCTGGTTATTTTATGAATAAGAGAGAGAGAGAGTGTCTGTGTGTGTGGATTGACAAGTAGTCAATAAACCAATAGCGTATACTAAGCTTCCTGTTGACAGACTTGATTGAAATAACGGAAATACATTGAACTAAACCTGTACTCAATATAACATATAAAGCCTATATATAACTTTTATATTTTTCTGTTAATCTATCTGATTATTAATATATTGACAGTAATGTAATGTAATATTTAATCTAATAATTCTTAGATATGATAATAGTTAGATGTTCATTTTGAGATGTTTGTTAATAACTAATATGAATTAACAGAGTTTGATATTCATTATATTTATTGGACAATAAAAAAAAATACAGAGGACGGCGGTAGATTTCAGAAAACTAGTTTATTTTTTGAATTGAAATAATAAACTATTTTTGATCACATTTGACATTAAGAGTTGGCTTGTTGTTCAATTATGATCTTATAAACTTGTTTGAGAAAAAGACACCAAAAAAAACCGATCTTTTTTGCATTAATATTTCCGTTCGATAGCAAGACAAGTCATCTTTTTTCTGTCGGTTTCTTCTCTTCTCTGTATTTCTCCTTTATGCTCTCTTTATCTCTTCTTCTTCTTCTTCTTCTTCTTCTCTCTATCTTTATCTCTGTCATTATCTCTCTATCTCTTGTTTTCATTTCTTGCCGATTTTATATGCCCGTCATTATTATTGTCGCCAATCTCTGCATCTGTGCGTGTCTTTTACTAAGCATATACATGCATACATCTCCGTTACTAAGTGTCAGTCAACCAGTCATATAAAACTTTATTCAATATACATAAGAATCCAGTTATAACATATTATTATATTGATTAGTAGACCAAAACAGCTTGCATATTAAATAAATTTTTCACATTGACATACGTGTGTTAAGTATTTATCTACCCTTTTTTTCCAACGAAATGTCACTATTATCCGTATCAATACACTGTCGTCGCTGTTCTCATCAATATACTGTCAACAGCCACCGCTACTGATTATCTTTGAAGCAACGTATGTGTGTGTTATATTCTCATGGTTGGTTAAAACTTATTCTTGGCCTTTTCTATATCCTTTTCCTATATATTAATCGATGCTATCTATCGTTGTTGAAAGAAACACTACGATAAATCTGAATTGCCTATTTTGTTTCGTGATTATCAAAACACTATGCGTCTACGTATTGATTTACATGTTTTAACAACAATCTTCACACTTATTTCTAGTACAAACTTACAACGTAGTGATGCATCTATAAAAACCGTTGAAGAATTTCTGGATACTCTTATCAATTCAAGCCGTTATGATAGACGTATTCGGCCATTTTTTGATCAACGCAGTTAGTAGATTTTATTCATTTTTCTTTATTAGTATTATTATTGTTATTATTTTCTATTATAGAAGCGTGCAATGTGACAATGACGATTCATATTAATACGATTTCAGCTATCAATGAAGTTAATATGGTACGACATACTCATTAAGAAAAAAAAAAGCGAAACTTGTTTATTCAAATGAATATTCATTACATATATATGTATTTGCTTTTT